ACTTTGTCAAATATGCTACCAGAAGGCAATGTTCTCCATACATTAATGTATGATATGAAGAAGTTTCTGAAATCATTTGATATGGGATATGAGAAGATTCATTCTTGTATTAATGACTGTTGCCTTTTCAGGAAGAAATTCAAGAAGCTTGATGCATGTCCTAAATGCAAGGCTTCAAGATGGAAGATATATAAACCAGCACACTGGTCAGATTAAGAAAGGTGTCCCACAGAAAGTTCTAAGGTACTTTCCTATTATCCCACGCTTGAAGAGAATGTTCAGGTCCGAGCAACTTGCCAAGGACCTAAGGTGGCATTTTCATAATAAGAGTAGTGATGGAAAACTGCGACATCCTGTGGATTCTGTGACATGGGATCAAGTTAATGCCAAATATCCTGCTTTTACTGCTGAACAAAGAAACATCCGTCTGGGTCTTTCTACTGATGGATTCAATCCTTTCAACATGAAGAACAGTAAGTATAGTTGTTGGCCTGTCTGCTTATTTCTACTGATGGATTCAATCCTTTCAACATGAAGAACAGTAAGTATAGTTGTTGGCCTGTCTGCTTAGTTAATTATAATATGGCTCCAGATCTGTGCATGAAGAAGGAAATCATTATGCTTACTTTGTTGATTCCTGGCCCACAGCAACCTGGTAATAACATTGATATTTACTTAGAGCCTCTTATAGATGATCTAATCCATTTGTGGAGTACAGGAGAGTTGACATATGATTCCTTCAGCAAGAGTACTTTCACACTTAAAGCAATGCTCCTTTGGACTATCAGTGATTTTCCTGCCTATGGGAATCTTGCTGGATGCAAAGTAAAAGGTAAGATGGGTTGTCCTTTATGTGGGAAGAACACTGATAGTATGTGGTTGAGTAACTGTAGGAAGCATATCTATATGTGCCATCGCAAAGGTCTTTCACCAACTCACAGTTATAGGGGCAAAAAGACATGGTTTGATGGGAAAACTGAACATGGAATCAGAGGTAGGATATTAACTGGTCATAATATATCTGTACTACTTAAAAATTTCAAAAATGATTTTGGGAATAGGAGAGAATCTGGGAAGAAGAGAGCTAGGACTGCTACTGTAGAGTCAGATGAAGAGGAAGAAGTAGATAGTGAGTCAGATGAAGAAGAAGAAGTAGAAACAGATGAGAAGGAATTATCAAGATGGAAGAAAAGGTCAATCTTATTCAAGTTGCCTTATTGGGAGGTATGTTTCTAATGTCTCTTAAAGTATAAATATTTACGATTAACTTATATTAACTTACTATGTAATGTATTTTGTAGGACCTGCCAGTAAGACACAATTTAGATGTGATGCATGTGGAGAGAAACGTCTGTGCAAGCATTATTGCTACTATGTTGCACTATGGTAAATCAAAGGATGGTTTAAAGACTCGCAAAGATCTCCAACTACTAGGCATTAGAAAGGATTTGCACCCTACAGAAAGAGGTAAAAGAATCTACCTTCCACCTGCTCCTTGGTCCTTGTCAAAGGAAGAGAAGAAAGTTTTCTGTAAGCGGCTTTATGACTTCAGAGGTCCGGATGGCTATTGTTCTAACATATCTAGTTGCATATCATTAGATGATAGCAAAGTAATGGGACTCAAATCACATGATTACCATGTCTTGATGCAACAGCTTCTCCCAGTTGCAGTTAGAGGTTTACTACCAAAAGGTCCAAGGGTTGCTATCCTACGCTTATGCTCATTTTTTAACCTTCTCTGTCAAAGGGTTATTGATATGGAGCAGATTACTGTATTGGAAAAAGAAGTTGTTGAGACTCTGTGTATGTTTGAGAGGTTTTTTCCTCCTAGCTTTTTTGATATAATGGTGCACTTGTGTGTCCATCTTGGTAGAGAAGCCAGATTGGGTGGACCAGTCCATTTCAGATGGATGTATCCATTTGAGAGGTCAGGTTTCTCTGTTAAAAAGTTTTTTCAATTTGGTTTCCATATTTTGTGTTTATTTGTTTCATGTGGTACTCAGATTTAGTGTTTATTTCTGTTAGGTACATGAAAGTCTTGAAAGATTATGTCAGAAATCCAGCAAGACCAGAGGGGTGCATAGCTGAGTCTTATCTAGCAGAAGAATGCATGGAGTTTTGCAATGCTTTTTTGAGGAAGACTACAAATGTAGAAGAGAAAGCTGACAGAAACACAGAGTATGAGAGTAGCTCAATCTTAGAGGGTCGTCCTATATCTGCAGCAACTTCATTCACTTTTACTGAAATGGAGAAGAAGATAGCCCATCTTGCTGTAATTCAAAATACAGCAATGGTTGATCCTTATGTGGAGTAAGTTTGTCAGTCAACTTTATATTTACTTTAATTTCTATTTACTTTTACCATTCTTACTGAATTCCTGTTTTCTATTCTAGCATGCATCTACAGTATCTACAAGACACTAATGCCAGATGCAAACGTGATGCTACTGTTTTGTGGAGTATGCATACACAAAATTTTGCAGAATGGTTAAAAAAACAGGCAAGTATTTATATGTACTTACATTTTCATGTTTTGGTGTCGTATATAAAGAGTTTAACATTGACACACCCGCAGGTTCATTCTCTTCTCTTCAACAATCTGCATCAACCCCTTCAGCTCCTATTAAGAAAACACAGGTTCAGTCACAATCCTCCTCACAGTCCCCTACTCTGAAGTCTCAGGTAACTATAACCCTCTTAAATATTTTTGTGCTAAATAAGTTATGGTTTTATTTGCTTTTTAGATATGTCATATTTAATTTTGTTTTCACTTAGCAGAAAAGCATGCCTGCAGTAGTAGTTGGCAAGGAAAATCAGAAGTGCATGTTGATGGATATAACAGGATTGAACAGGGTTGTTGCTGAAGGACGTTGGTCTTCAAATGATCCTGACCTGAAAGTTTACTTTGTTCCTCTGGGCAATAACGGAGTCCGCGTCTGGGTAGATATAGTCAAGGTGGATGATGCAGCGGTTTGGAGGCCTTCTTCTGCGGTTGAGTGTATGGACGATGCGTTAGGTTCGACTATAGCTTGGCCAGTTGACAAAGTGGTGCTGGTATAATGTGTAAGAAGCATCCTGTTCTTTAGTTTAATTTCTTTTGTGTTGCATTGTTCAGTCTTTAGACTTGAGACTTGGTACTTTAACAGATGGTATTGCTATGTGGTTTATTGTAAGACAGTTGTTGTAATGGTCTGATAACATATTTCTATGAAAATGTTCAGTTTGTATTGCAAATGCATATCATATATTATTATGAGCACCAAATTTCAGAAAAATATATAGCGTTATGAAGCGATCTAAGAAATAAATCATATATTGAGATTAGCCAAATACCATAGCTACATAAAACAAAATTATTATAAATATATTGTGCTACTGGTTAATATAATATTACGACTAATTTCTGTAACCATAGATTAAATACTAGCTAAAACTACATGTTACTATAAATTGTTTCATTACAAGAAATCACAGCTACTAAATAAATTAAAATAGTGACAAACATGTGCCACAATATATCACATAATAACAACAGAAATGCGCTATAATACGTACACATTCAATAGCATATAAAAAAAGCGCTATTGTACGTGACCACTCTAAGATAGCTCCGGCAAACACAGCGTTTACGAAAGCGCTATGTAAAGGATATAACAACGTTTTCAGTATGTTAAGAATGCCCATATTTCTTGTAGTGGAGTTAGAACTGTTGAGTTCACAAACATAGTCAAAAAGGAGGAGAATGAAGATGTAGCTGCAGTCTGATAAAGTTGTTGAATGAGTCAAGAAGTAATACAAGATTTTTTCTGATGGAGTTGCTGAATGATTCAAGAAGTAAGCCAAGATGCGATTGTTTTTGTGTGAGTGTCAGTTTTTAAAAGGTTTGAGAAGATGTGTTTGGAACGTGTTTAGAGGATGAATCACAAAGGAAAAAGGACTTAAAGAGATTTGGAAGACTTGATGAAAGTGGATTTTGATGACGAAAAGGAAATTTACTTTTTCTTATGGAAATTGGAAATCTTCTCCTATGGTGATTAGGAAATCGTTTTGGCTATATAAGGAGGAGCTGAGGATGTCTTTGAAAACAAAGAGAGCTGAGGCATAGAGATAAATCATTGAGAGCTTTCTGAGGGTGTGTGCGACATAGTTTCGCGGTTTTATGCGACATAGTTTCGCGGTTTGATGCTTGTGTGGTCAAGCTTATTTGTCTGTTGGTGTAACATTCGTGTGTGACGGTTGGTCCAGAGACTTGAAGAATTGATGTCTAGACTCAGGGGCAGTTTAGCTCAGGGTTAGGTTATCCTGATTAAATCTAGACTCAAGGGGAGTTTAGTTAAGGGTAGAGATTATCCTTAAGATTTCACGTTGTAGAAGGAAGCGGTAAATCAAGAGGGTTGTGCTTGTTTTACGCGTTTGCGAATTGGTTGTAATTTGCTTTCTTGTTCTAGTGAAATCGAAATCTGGACTTGGTCCCGGAGAGTAGGAAAAACCGAACCTCGTTAACAAATTTCTTGTCTCGTTTACTTTCTGCAAATTATCTTACCTCATTCGCACTTACAGTTTTGAGAGACATTACAATAAAGAGATGGTCTTGTAAAAACAAATGACAATCTCAAGTAGTTTAGGTAGTTTGCAGAGAGATTAAGATATGATAACACCCAAATTTTAAAGACAAATCAGCACAAGCCCGACAATTACGAATTTTTGGTCGCAATCTTACTTGACCATTTTTTTCTCCTTTTCCAACAATTAGAACTCTCATAACCCACTTCTCAAAAGAATATAAAACATATTCATAACTTATATGAAAAAAGAAAAATAATGAAACATGTTCTTGTAGATTTGTTTTCTGGTCAACAAAACATATAATTATTTATTAAGCATGCATTCATCTTTTACAATCCTAAAAAAGTCTGAAAAAATTATATTTTATGCTAAATTTATAAGAAAAACTCTAAATTAAAAGCTGTTAGTTTCTACAATATCTATATGTTTTAATTAAATAATTGCTAACACGTCATGCTGTAATTCAAATAAAATCTTTTGAAATTTAATATTATCCTTATATACCAACATTTTAGAGATTTTATCCCAAAAAGAAAAATTTTAGAGATAGAGGTTTTCCAGTAAAGGTAATAATAACTGGAGATAGAGTTTTTACAATGGAATGTGCTGGCGATTATATTCCTTATTAATACTAAAACAACCCCAAAATATGGATTAATATATGGCTTTAGCCCCCAAAAAAAGAAGTTAAAACTAATATAAAAATTTAGGAGCCTTCTCTTTCCGAAACCATTCACTTTTTCCTACTACATTAACACTTTTGTGTAGATATTATTCGTGTTACATAGCAGAAATGATTCTTACACAATCAAAACAAACCTAGCCACTACAATGTCGAACCACGCGCAACAGCCTCCAAGACCTCTGATGAAGCAACACTCGTGGTCACCGGACATGAATCGCGAAGAGGCTTGGCTGCGTAAGAAAAAGAAACGCCCACTGGATCTCCTTCCTCGCAGCAAGAGTGTCACAAACGACGATATCGAGGAGCTTAAAGGCTGCTTCGAGCTTGGGTTTGGGTTTGAAACAGAATCTCCTGATTTGAATCCAAGGCTCTCCCTTACAATACCCGCTCTCGATTTGTATTGCGCGGTTCATAGACAGTACAGCAACCATTTGTCTAGAACGTCTTCATTCGCGTCGGAACATGAAGTCAGCAACTCCAACAGCACCACAACCATCGTCGACAAAGGTATGTTTGAATTCTAGTTTTGGAATTAGTTTATTGTTTTTTTCTTTGTCTGAATGTTCTCCGGTTTTGAGGAGCAACTTTAAAAAGGTGATGACCGTAAGACGATGAAGCAGAAGCTGAAACAATGGGCTAAGGTGGTCGGGTTTTCGGTGCGGCACTCTTCCGGGAAACCCAAATTGATGTCAGAAGAATGACAGTTTTGTAATATAATGTTAACAAACACTAAAATGTTTAATATATGAATGTTAGTGGATAAGACACCGTCTTGTCAAAGTTTATGTGAACCGATTAAAAGAAAAATTATCGATTGTTATTGA